GGGATTCGAAGTAATAGTCAAGTTCTAGTTCATTTGATGAATCCACTCCGATTCACGTTTATTTCCAACAAGGATTTTGATAATCTGCTTCGGAATATGAATCCATTTCAATTCAAGCTCACCTCGTGATTACCAGTATTAAATTTTCAAATGTTGTATATAATTCACATCTTTGTTGAGGCTACTACGCTGGCAGCAACGGTAATACGTTTACCCCCGTTACTGGGCAGAGTAAGCCGCTTTTAAAAGGAAACAAGCTCACTTCTCTAAGAAAATATTTTTTTATTCACAGGTTGCTCCTCGCAATTGAGCCAGCATGAAATTCTAGCAAGTTAACATTTCCACATTGTTCCACGCATAAAAGAATTCTCGGGAAAGCGTTAAACTTTGTAAGAGTTTAAAAAAGTATTTTAATATAAAAATATAGCATCATAAGATGTACATAATAAATTTTAATATGATTTATATTCATGAATAATTAGTTTAATATAGAAATTTTATATAATTAAAATAATTTAGACAAAAAAATAGGTCTTAACTGATTTCGGAAAGCGAAACACTAATCAATTTTCGGCCTGATTATTATAAAAGATTTACCCAATTTTGTACAAAACCGAAGATATCGGGGGGAAGCGTTATCCCGTTTGTTTAGTATGCTTCATATTAAAAAGGTAATTTCGACGAAGGAGACGTGGCGGCCAACCATTTACATATCGCGTATCCGGCATCGCATTTTCCCGCGGGCCGCTTTATTTGCCATGGGGGCCATTTTCTGACACTAGCACGTCATTACGGTCCGAATATGACATAATGGAATGTTGTTACGTGTCGGAGGGGACAATATTGAGCCGACAAACATTGGCGACATGATGACGGTGTGGTGTATTAATGATTGTTTATCAATTCGGCTTCGTATTTTTTTGTTAATGTAAATTCAGTTAATGCTATTTTATTTATTTAAAAATTTTATGTTTATACCGCAACTTAAGGCTAATTAAAAGGCAAAGTTAATGCTAATAAGCCTATTCCCTACCAGTTGACCCTGGGAGTAGAGATAATTTGATGCAGTTGTAAAGGTAATAATTGTGTGTCAGATATAAATTACTCGAAATTGAGACTAGCGAACTTGATTCGTGTTTTCAAATTTCAAAAATTTAAAATATCTTTATTCAAATAGATGCTTGCGTGTTCTTATGACACGTCGAATTTTACATAGATAATTAATACATAAATTCGTAAATAAGTTACCAGTAGTTTTGATACAATTTTATTTATGGGTAAAGATTTTTGGAACACATAAGTGCAGATCGATATGTATAAAAGACCTATAATAAACTAAATTCGGGTAGAACAACCTATTAAATAAATGCATATAATTATTGATACATACGATTTAATAACGATGTTCTGATAAATTAGATCAGTGTTTTATTGTAACATTGTAAAACAAATACTAATAATAACCGTGACAGCAGAACTCTTGCATCTATTTAACATAATATTAAAAGCATTTCTAAGACCTAATTAGAAGTACCTACGCATCAGGACTTGTTAAAAAGGTACGCGCGGTCTGAATGATTACATGAAATGCGTGCTCAGGTCGGACGTCGAAATCCCCCATGAGATGCGCTAGGCGGTATTTCTTCCACGTCAAAAGCAGGCAATGCGTACGTGAGAAATGCCGATAACGCTTCCAGCGGGGCCGCGGGAACAAAGCGATGGCGGCGCTCGCGTAAGGAGAGGTAATAGCGCGGATCATTGCCTTTTCACTCGGTTACTCAAACGCGGATGGATGAGGTCGTTGGATAGGCCGTAGGGACAATCGTCGGGCATCCCTCAACGTCGCCGCTAATTGAAAACTGTAGCGGGTCCCATTTGAATCCTTATTATCGGAGCGTTGCTCTGTCGGTACGCATTAAGCCCGATGTTATTTAATTATGGACCTTCCTCAGATTGAATATAGGAACTCCCATTTGAATGGATAACAAACGTATGAATTTGTTTTAATTCATAATACGTAAACGTCTATTCACTCTAAACGTGAATACTTTAGGTATCGTTCATTTTATTTTATATGCAAAAGAGCATAAGCGGACTCGTATTACTGAGTGTAGACAGATACAAACTGCAATTCGCCCAAGCTATATCCAAAGAATTACAACTATATAAACGTGTATATCATTGCGCATTGTTAGAATCGAGTTGTGATTTGGGCTAAGGAAGTAATAAAACACACTGTTACGATTAATATTCACAAAACTCCAATAAATTTGTTTTGTTCTGACGAAAGAAATTATAACTCGAGATCATCGAACTCATTTTGTTTCCTGTAGAAATTGGAAGTAATCAAAACTTGTTCCGATGCCAATTAAGAGTCCCTTATACATAAATACCCTTTAAGTGGTTCGTTGGAGGGAGCGGGGCGCGAGCTAAAGAAATCCTCGATAATGGGGGGCGAAGAGTGGAAAATTATTAAACATTTGAGAGTTTAGACAGCAAGGGGGGGATGTTATATTATAATCGTTTAATTCCGTAACAATAAAATAAAGCTGGTGTGATAGCACTTAGGAGTGGGGGGGGGGGGGGGGGGGTATTTAAGTCTACAGCGTAGACTCTACACTGTCGTGTGAGGTTAATTGTGTGTATAATATTTTGTTCTTCCAATATACTGATGAAAAAAAAATATGGATCTTTTTATTGATCACTTCTAACTTAACACTATTTGGAAGATTTGGTGATCTTGTAATAAAAGCAATGTTTGTATGTATAATATACGACAAACACCAAGGGTCACATTCACAAAATATCCTCTCCTTGTTGGGACGATAGTAGTAACGATGCTATCAGCTACCATAAAATGAATGGTAAAATTATTACAGTCCATACTCTTAACACTTTCTTGACACCTCCCAGAATGTGCTACCCACTCTCCGCGTCCACTGAAGACAAAGTGTCAGCGATAACTGGACGTCGATTTATAAACGTGTCCAATTAAACCGGGCGGGGGAATACCATTTCATCCATGGAAAAGCAATTTCCGTCATGAGAATTTTATTTATTTCATTCGGCATTAGCGAAAAGTTGCGGACTCTGAAGTTGGCGGGGGTGATGAGAGGGATGCGGGGGACGGGTGATGGGGGGGGGGGGTTGCGTATTAAAATATTTTAAGCAGGCCATGAATATGCAAAGACACGGCCCACGGCAGCGGCGGCTAACGATTCGCACGCTCTCGGACCGCCCGCTAATTGCGAATGTGAACGAACAGTTGGCGAGTGTAATTGCTTTCGCCGCTACCTGCGACGATATTTGGCTCTTCCGATGGAATCTTTTAATTGTATGGTGTAATCGTTTTACGTTATCTGCCGTGGCACGGGTCAAGGCATGACGCGAACGGCAGAAGTGATTCAGTTCAGTCACGGGCGGCGGTTATCACTTAACATCAGGTGAACCGCCAGATAGCTTACCACTTCTCACATTAAAAAATCTTTGCTGCAATAAGTCGATTGTTTCACGTCCGGTGTGATTGGTGGCGTCGTCCTACTGAATCGCATTTCTTCCAGATCCATGCCATTCAGTTAGGACCGCGAGAACTCCATTATCATGTTCTTGTAACGAATGCCATTCACAGTCACTGTAATTTCGGCCACATTTTCAAAAAGTTAGGCCCAATCACGCGCTTATCAAAATTAACGGTGGTAGGGCCACGCAGCAGCCTCGGCTGTTGCATGAATGGGCAGGCTTGTCAGGGTAAGTACCACTACCTCACAGAAGACCGGCATCAAGTGGAAGTATAATACTTTCGCGTTTCGTCTGGTGCGTGAGGTAGCCGGAGCCCAATTTTCAAAAGGTAGTCAACGCATCTGCAACCCTCGGGTGTAGCAGATGTCCATGGGTAGCGGTATTCACTTAACGTCAGGTGAACCGCCTACTCGATTGGCAACCTTTCGCATAAAATAATTCGCAACAGATAGTTACTTGTCATGGTGAAGATGACTATTTCGGGATTTTCACATTCGCGCTTTGCACGGTCTGCTGGTTTATGCTCCTGAGTAAGCTGAATCTCGTATGGTTCAAGAAAGAAGTCTTTGTCCAAATTCACCGTGAAGTGCTTCGTGAAATTTCAAGTTGTTGAAAACGATACCGAATTGATGTTTCGGGTTTTATGCGACAATCTGCTCTAAAGCAGAAATATTTAGGCATACACCAGTACGACTAGGCAGAGAGGACCTATCAGTCTTCGAACTGCTGACACATTACATGATCAAGAAACTACCAATTCTTTGCGAGTGGTCTCAAAATAACTTTCCCTATTTTTGAAATGGATTTTTACAGCGATAACGCGTTCGTGTTTTGCGTATAGCTCTATTTTTTAGTTAGGGTTTTCACCCCGAATAAAATGCATACAATTTGAATAAGTACTGCACCCCTATTGAGTCACCCGTTAGTAACTTTTATGACAGGCACCATCTGATAAGAAAAGTCTATAGTGGATGCTCAGCAAGTGACATTTTGGAAAATAACAAGTTAAATCGTTTTAACCGTAATATCTAGGCAAGTAAGCTTTTACATTAAGAAAAATCAAAAGACTCAAATATAATATTCCTAGTTACGTTTCTTAAGATGGTAGAAATAGGCAGAAAGAAACGACTATTACCTTATTCATTTCACGCAGCTATGAATACGAAGCAAATTTAAAAATATTAATATTAAGTGGACGTACTTTACGAATTGGCAAGCATTAATAGCAAAGCTTTCAAAGTGTGTCCATAGAAACGGGTACACAGCTGCTCATCGGAAAAAATATACCAAGGAATTCTAGAAAAGGGAAACTCGCTGCTATAAAGCTCGTTCCGGCTGCTGCGGCGGTTAACGAGATCAGAATCAAAGTGCGGTACGGTGTACCACATTAGGCGGTTTGTTGAGGAATTGGATTCCGTCGAGCCTTTTCAAGTGTGATTAAGGTTGGATTGAGGCGGGCGGCGGACGTATCTATTCAATTAGCAGCGCAGTTCGAAGTCAGGTCGGCTGATGCTCCAATTTATGGCGCTGTGAATAGCGCAACCATTCGTGTACACTTCCTTAGCGAGCATCGCGAACGGATCGTCCAGCCCGTGACTGAAATTTAATGTTCCTTTTGAAACACCCCCTAATTCCGTCTGCGTGCGAAACAGCAGCGTTGAAATTGGTAATCCCATTATATCTTCGGATAGATTGCAGTAAGTTGAAATATGTTTTAATTCCTGCAGTGATTTTAGAACCGACATCATTGTTATTGCAATTTTGTACACCTTTATAGACGAGAGACTGAAAAATGGGTTTTCTGCGAATTTTGTAAGATTATATTATTTTGTTTTGGGATCTCACGATACAGGCTGGGCCTAGTGTAAGGGCCACAAGTTACACCTTGTTTTGTCTAGTGCGGCAGTCCAAATGTTCTGTTTGTTTTATAATTGGAAATTCTTATATGCAAATGTATATTGTTACTTTGGACTTTAATAAACTTTATTATTATTATTATTTTATATTTCTCATGCTATGGGTGGTCTCGGTTAAGAAATGGAGATCTAAACCATTTTGGACCCAAATCCAGTGAACAGATGATTAAAATTAGGCTCGAATTTATATTCCGATTTTATTCGGTTATGTTTGTACTTTAAATTGCAACATATAAAGGCGATAGGTAGGAAATGCAAAATGTTCTTGAATGGAATTTGAAAACCAGAAGCAATCTCAGCGAACAGGACACGCTTAGCAGGGCATTTCACCACTTGGGTGCATTTCCGAAGGGAAATTACAGTAATTTGTGGAAAGTGGAACGGCTGCCAGAAAACTATTAATACATGTGTGGATGTCGTCCACAAGAAAGAAGCTTACATTTATTCTTCTGTTGTAGTTTACACACGAAAAAAGTTTTAATATTACTAATAATTATGTACAATTATTTTTAAAGTAAACACGCAGTTTAAATTATTGATGCCATTTTTAAAATCGGCCCACTGTTCAGCCATTTTTTTTGGTCAAATTAATGAAGCCGGTCATTAATTGCCCAAAAAAACTGGATGAACCGTTCGCTGTCAAACCTGAATTTCCTGAAAATTTCATACACGCATCGATTTTTAGCCCACATTGATGTGAAAAATTGGCAAGTAAGCAGAAGATTCACTTAACGTTAACTGATTATCTCCGTCGGCCACCTCATACATCAGATGAAACGTAAAAGTATAATACTTCACGTTTAATTATGTCAGGCATGCTCAGAAAAGTCTTTTACTAGCTGCTGCCCGCGACTAAGTCTGACTGAAGGCGTAACATTCAGAAAGTTAAAAGACATGTTCTGTATGTATTCCATGGTAAGCCTTAATAAATAAAATAAAAAAAAAATAAAAATAAAAGTATAATACTTCACGTTTAATTCTGTCAGGCATGCTCAGAAAAGTCTTTTACTAGCTGCTGCCCGCGACTAAGTCTGACTGAAGGCGTAACTCAGAAAGAAAGACAGATATACATAAAATATGTATACAAATTATAGCCTATGTCTTATTCCGACGTATAAGCTATATTATAGTAAAGTTTCATTAAAATCAATTCAGTAGTATTTGCGTGAAAGAGTAACAAACATCCATCCATACATACAAACTTTCGCGTTTAATATATTATGTCCGTTTTGTGATTGTCGCCAGTAAAATTGACTTTATCGGAGTATGCTGAAAACGTGCAGGAAGAGAACTTCACTAGACACACACTAATAGGCTATTAATATCATAGTCATAACTATTAATATCATAACTGTGAAATACTACCACGGACAGTTAATTGGATATGGAGTTTTTACGCAGTGCTCCCAAATTTGTTCTGTAGTTTTATTTATTTGAAGGGATGTCTCGTATCTAAGATTTCCCGGGATCGGGAATCGTTCCGAAGGCGTCGCTAAATCTGATCATAAAAATAAATCCCGGCAATCAAATCGCGAACAGCGAAAAAGGCGAGGCTGTTTGTTGCCGTCTTACATGAAAATTGCCGAGAACTATTTCGTAGCGGGACAAAAAGGTTCTCGGACCATGAATATAAATATGTTCGGGTGCGTTCCTACGTTGTTCCACTGCGATGTGGGGCCGAGAATGAAAATTACATACGAAAAGGTATGTTACACGTTCATTTCGATTTTTATCAGTAGGCTCTTAGCAAAAGTCGAGAATTATACTTTATTTCACAGTACCTATATATTTTAAGAAAATCTTATTAGTTACTCACCCACAGACTAATGCTTGTCTGCGCTACAGATAGTTCAAATTATAAATAAATTTAAAGTTATTAATAAGAAAAGTTATGTCGATCCATTACGCCGTTGCTGCGTAAAATAAGAGTAAACAGAAATCACACTTTAACATTTGCAGTAGGGATAGTTCTTACATGTTTTACGAGAAATCTTCTTTCTTCTAATATATAATGTCATAAACATCAATAACAAAAATCGAATGGATACAAAACAATTAATTAAAAAATGCTAGAAGATGAAAACGTATATATCTGTGTTATTTTTAGTATATAAATATTGGATTTGTAACACTCAAAGCAAAACAAGAAATACTGTAATAATTTTTTTATGCCAGTTCAACTCACTCGAGCAAATTTGTTTTGGACATCTAATTGTATATTTTATTTAACAATGCTTTGTTGCATTGTTAAATAAAATAAATTTGACGATTTTCTCACATTTAAATTCCATTATGATTCCAGACGTTTCTGACCCGTGACCATTGACTCTGTGTAGACTTCGATACGTCGGGAATAAAAATAAGAATTGAGATAAACCTACGGTTAGTTTTATTTCACATGTTTAGACTTCGAACTAAAGAATTTAATATAGGAAAGCCACTTGTTCAAAAATGTATTAGATGTACAACAGGCCTTAATAATAACAACGACAAAAATAGAAACGCAGGTAGTACGCAATATACAAGCTTAACGGTTGTAGGGCCACGCAGCAGCCTCGATTGTCGCATGAATGGGCAGGCTCGTCCGGGTAGATACCAAGATCTAAGAGAAGACAGGAAGTGGAAGTATTTTCAATAGTAAACATACTAGACCCTTTCCACACACGTCAAGGTATGCATTTTAAAGTTGAGGCGAGACTGGCTGAGTACACGTTGTTTCTTGTCCCGCGCGCCTGAACGAGACAGCGTCATTAAATTAAAGTTTCATTTGTCTTCATTTGCTAAACAACAGCAATTATACAGAGCCCCAGCGGGTGAGTAATCAAGCGTCCCTTTAATTAAGTACAGAAACAGTGCCGAGTAATTGGATCTGAACAACTGAGTAAACAAATCGAAATGGAAGCTAATAAATCTAGCAAACACCTCCTTTGGCATCTTCGAGCATCCAGATTGTCCCATCGCGAGTAATGCCCCGGTAATCGTGAGCAAAATAATTAATCGCAATAATAATAAATAATAATAATATAATAAAATATCTTTATTCACATAGACGCTTGCGCGTTCTTATGAAACGTCAAAATTTTACAAGAAATTAACACGTTCGTAAGTTACCACAGGTTCGGAAAGCAGTTTCTGTTGAGAAGAAACCGGCAAGAAACTCAACAGTTGCTCTTTTTTTAAAAAATCAGTTTACAATATAATAGTACAGGTACAATAGTCTTGTTTTAGCCTACGTGAGTATCAACAGTATTAACCCCACACATTGGCGTCGTCAAGATATTCGGCAATAGTATAATAGGCTTTAGCCATAAGTGTACTTCTAATTTTTTCGTTTAAATTCATCAAGTGGCAGACTTAACATCGACTGTGGGATTTTATTATACATGCGCACACTTTGCCCCATGAACGATCTGTTTACTTTTTGCGAAATAATGGCGTAGTTAGTTTGTCCTTATTTCTAGTATTTAGTTTATGTCTGTCACTATTCTTTTGATAATTATTAATATTCTGTTTAACATACAAAATATTACAATAAATATATTGAGACGCAACAGTGAGTATATTAATCTCTTTAAAAAGATCTCTGAGTGTATTCCGGGCTCCGATGTTATAAATTGCTCGGACAGCTCTTTTTTGAATAATAAATATTGAATTTATATCAGATGCACTACCCCACAACAAAATGCCGTACGACAAGATGCTGTGAAAATAACTGTAGTAAACAAGTCTGGCAGTGTCGATGTCTGATAGGTGTCTAACCTTCCTAATTGCAAAAACAGCGGAGCTTAACCTATTCGCAAGAGATGATAGATGGGGACTTCATTGGAGCTTTGAATCTACTGTGATTTCCAAGAATACAGCGGACTCAACAGGATTAAGGGTTACGCTATTCAATTTTAAGCTAAAACTTTGCCTTCTTACGTTGGTAAGGGCAAAAAGAAGGCATTTAGTTTTTTTAGCATTTAACACCATATTATGGTAAACCAGTGGAGGATACGCGAAAGTGCACTATTCACGTCGTCATAATTCGATACATTTCGGTCAACCTTAAAAATAAGCGATGTGTCGTCAGCAAGCAGTACAACATCACATAACTCACTGGCATAGAAGGGGAGATCATTTATATATACTAAGAATAATAATGGGCCCAAGATCGATCCTTGTGGGATACCCATATTCATGGGGGACCCTGCGGAATTTACATCATTTATAGATACTTTTTGAATTCTATTATTAAGGTAAGAAGCAATGAGTTAAGACCGACAACATTAAATAAACAGTAAGACAGCTTTTTATGTGAAAAGTTGCCAAGTGAGTAGCGGTTCACCTAAAGAATAATAAGTGAATACCGCCTCCCATGGACATCTGCTGTACCCGAGGGTTACAGATGAGTTGACAACCTTTTGAAGATTGGGCTCCGGCTACTTCACTCATTAGACGAAACGCGAAAGTATTTCTTCTGCTTCCAACTTACGCCGGTCTTCTGTGAGGTCGTGGTACTTACCCGGATGAGCCAGCCCATTCGTGCAACAGTCGAGGCTGTTGCGTGACCCTACCACCGTTAAATTTTACTTGCAAACTTCAGTTTAAAGTCATCATTCCATGGTTTAGTTTATTAGCAACCTCTTGACTTCAATCATAGACTACTCTACTTGACATTAATAAATTTAATGTTAGTTAAACGCTTATTGTTTTTGAAAAGCATCTCTGAGTGCGGCGGTCAGTAAATACTTCAAGTTTAAAAAAAAAAAAAAAACGAGCTCTCGTTTTCGATTCTTTTATAGTAGTGAAACAAAAAAGAGCGGTGTGAATCAACACGAGGAGCGAATGTTACTTCGCCGAGTTTCGTCCGTGAAATTGACAAAAGTTCCTCCGATTCGTCGCCGCGTCGGCTCATTAATTATTTTCGCCGGAGGTTGATAAATGAAAATAGTTCGCGGGAGCACTTTAATTATCAAGTATGCCCCGGTGTTTGTTCGGGAGCGTCTCGGGGGGAAGTAACTCGATTCTGAGTCGGGCGGCGTACTTTTAATAGGCCGTAACGGCGCCCGCTCGGTGGCGTTATCGAGTTACTGCTGGACTCCCGCTCGGCGGCGCTGCAAAACAAGTGAGTGACGTCACGGGCACGCGTACACAGTGTACGGGTATATGATAACCACACCACATCGTTTCAGTACAGAATGGTGTGTGTTGTTTAAAGAAGTTTATATTGAAACTGAACACACGTTTCTTATTGGCTAACCGCGAGTGTCCGATACAATAGCGATAGTGCGACCCACAGATAGTTTTTCCCATCTAGGTGTTTGTCCATGTGAAATTTATTTTTGTAAAACGTCCTTACATCACATAATAATGTTATCCTTAAGTGAGGGCAATGTTTAAAAAGACTATTCAACAATACGCAGTATTCGAGTAAAATCAAAAAATTAAATTGTTATTTTGTCGCAATTTAATTTTTTGATTTTACTCGAATACTGCGTATTGTTGAAAGGCACGTTTATACGTTTGTTTAATTTCCGAAGCATAAAGCGTTGAGAACTTTTATAATTAATGATATAAGTAACTTGAGCGGAATTGATAATCATTTTAGAAGTAACAGTATCTCATTTTTTGTGATATCATGAAACTCACATGCATCACAACATAGTATAAAACAAAGTCGTCCCGCTGTCTGTCTGTCCCTATGTATGCTTAGATCTTCAAAACTACGCAACGGATCTTGATGCGGTTTTTATTACTAGACTGAGTGATTCAAGAGGAAGGTTTATATGTATAATTACATTGGACCCGTGTGAAGCCGGGGTGGATCGCTAGTTAATAATAATTTTTACACATGCACACCTTCATTTCTTATGCTTGAAGTAAGAATATGAAATAAAAATATATACTAAAAGGAAAAGAAAGAAAAAAACACCGTTAAAATATGTAAAAATTAAGAGTACTTTAAGATTTGTACATACTCTCATGAGGCTTTGAATCTAAAACGTTTCACCAATTTGAGCTCATACGAAGGAGAAATGACAAAATAAAAATGTTATTTCTTTCTTTTAAAGAAATGCGTGTCAATAACTAAAACGAAAAATAAAGGAATGTTGTACTAAACAGTGGACACATCGCATTCATGACTACATAATGTATGCACACACATCCGTACATATGCGTATATATGGTCACACCATCATTTCAATATGTGCGTTAGGTATAAAGTCCCTAGTGCTTGTTTTCAACTCGTTGAGATAAACCGGTTAGGCTAACTAGGAGCTCGCGTGTACGTTGTTTATAGCCGGTGGAGCCGGGCGTAACAACTTGTTTAACGGCAGCGGAAGCGTTTCCGAGCGAGCGTGCGTACGTAAGCGGTAGCGGGAGCGGAGGAGGGAGCGGCAGCGGAGGCGGGAGCGGGAGCGAGGTCCTTCTATGGCCGAAACACTGTCGGGCTCCGGCCATTGTGTTACTCTACCCGCTCAAGTTACTCCACTGTAATTACATCAGGGAATACGGCGTTGACATCGCTTAGGTACGCCTACGCTACCGGTTTTTAACTGGGTATAGAACTGATGCACTTCAGTCCCAGACGTAAAGTTATCGCTAACAGTGTTTACATTGTTCCATTAATTACCATACTAAGATAGACATCGGAATTGCTAATAAACATAGCTAGAACATATAATATGTATGGTAACGTTTATAATCTGTAAAGTCTTTTATCATTTACGGGCTAAGGATATGGAACTTATATATCAGTGCTTTCGCACACATACGATTAATAACAGTAAGTTAAAGGAATGTGTCGAAAATATTGATATGGTTTTTTAATTAAGATAATATTAGGGCGTCCATCTTGCATTATGCCACAATCAAAAAACAGTATTAAGAGATTTAGGCACAAAAGAGAGACAGTAATTACACTTATGAAAAATAAAATCTAAAAGCATGCACGGGTTTTGAAGTTATAGCCCCAGCACGACATAATTTGCCCACTAGAAAGAGCTTAGCTTCTACAACCCTAAGGGGGTGTAAGTAAGAAAATAAAAGCGATAAAGTGCTAAATAAGCGCTTACTAACAACTGGAATTACTTAGGCGCGGGCCAAACTTTTCCTGGTGTCCGCCATCAACACATAATTCAGGGCAAGATTAAATGCCTCTTGGACTGTCGGCCGGAAGGCCGACGCTCCATTAGACAGGCTTGCATTAGACCCTGCAAACTTGCGAGCCGCTCTTTTATAAAACTCGCTTAACAAATAACGAGGAAAATTCTTGTGTCCGATTCGCCATGGTTAGATTTTGTCCACTTTTTTACTGTGGCAGCAACAGAAGAGGGTCTCTTCTGTTGCACGAATGGGCAGGCCCATCCGGGTAAGTGCCACGAGCTCACAGAGGACCGGAGAGAAGTGGAAGTGTTATATACCTCTGCGTTCCTTCTGGTGAGTGAGGTAGCCGGGGCCCACTTTATTTAAAGGCGGTAACGTATCTACAACCCTATGGGTGTTCAATGGGCGGCAGTTACCATTTAACTTTATTTCGGTGGTAGGGCCACCGAAATAAATTTGGGCCACGAATGGGCAGGCCCGTCCGGGTAAGTACCACGACCTCACAGAAGACCAGCGTAAAGTGAGTGAGGTAGCCGGAGCCCAATTTTCAAAAGGTTGTCAACGGATCTGTAACCCTCGAATGTAGCAGATGTCTATGGGCGGCGGTATTCACTTAACATCAGGTGAACCGTCTGCTCGTTTGGCAACTTTTCATATGAATAAAAAAAAAAAATCATTACGTGAACCGCCAGGTCATTTGGCACTTTCTACTATTAAAAAAAACCTTCTTTTGAATGGGATTTCGCGAAGTATACATTGTCGAAATTAACAATTTTAGATTTGAGTCTGAACACGGCAGGCAGTGATAGCATTTAAAAACGGTGTTTAAAGCATTATAGTTTTTTTAATTTCGAACTAACATTTGGTAGATAGCCTTTTTAATTAAAACTTTTAATTTGATCGTCTTATTTTTATACGATATGATAAATTTCTAACTGTTTCTACCTATATTTGTTTTTTTTAATTGATATGTTCTAGACGAAATAAAAAGTACCTATATGTTATTAATTTCAAACAGTTTGTTGTATAATGAATACCGATATTTTGCAACATTTTGTCTATGCTTGTAATTTACTTGCTTATGACATTTGATTGGAATCCGAACTTATTATATGATTTACCACATTATTCACTATTGTCGTACTAAATAGATTTTTTTTATTCATATCCAAAGTCAAAGTCAAAATTTCTTTCTGGAATTATAGGCTTATTTAAATTTCTTTTTAAACGTCAAAAATAAGTATCACGTACCACGAATGGGCAGGCCCGTCCGGGTAAGTACCACGACCTCACAGAAGACCAGCGTAAAGTGAGTGAGGTAGCCGGAGCCCAATTTTCAAAAGGTTGTCAACGGATCTGTAACCCTCGAATGTAGCAGATGTCTATGGGCGGCGGTATTCACTTAACATCAGGTGAACCGTCTGCTCGTTTGGCAACTTTTCATATGAAAAAAAAAATCATTACGTGAACCGCCAGGTCATTTGGCACTTTCTACTATTAAAAAAAACCTTCTTTGAATGGGATTTCGCGAAGTATACATTGTCGAAATTAACAATTTTAGATTTGAGTCTGAACACGGCAGGCAGTGATAGCATTTAAAAACGGTGTTAAAGCATTATACCTTAATATAATAGAATATTAGTAGACAAAATTGTACTTATACTATGTAATAATTTTGGTTAAATTTTCTTAAAGGTATTTTAAGTCTAGTTTGATCAAAACAGTTTTTTTAATTTCGAACTAACATTTGGTAGATAGCCTTTTTAATTAAAACTTTTAATTTGATCGTCTTATTTTTATACGATATGATAAATTTCTAACTGTTTCTACCTATATTTGTTTTTTTTAATTGATATGTTCTAGACGAAATAAAAAGTACCTATATGTTATTAATTTCAAACAGTTTGTTGTATAATGAATACCGATATTTTGCAACATTTTGTCTATGCTTGTAATTTACTTGCTTATGACATTTGATTGGAATCCGAACTTATTATATGATTTACCACATTATTCACTATTGTCGTACTAAATAGATTTTTTTTATTCATATCCAAAGTCAAAGTCAAAATTTCTTTCTGGAATATAGGCTTATTTAAATTTCTTTTTAAACGTCAAAAATAAGTATCACGTACTACGCACTAACTTATTTATTCGTAGATCATACTTTAAATTATTACGAAAATTTTGAACGTTTTTTAATTTGCATGAAGTAAATACAAATTCATTCGCTAAAATATTAAGCCAATGTAAATAAGTTAAAATTGGGTCACCTTTACGTATGGGCTTAAAGGAGAATGTTGGTCTTTCGACCTCGCTAGGTTGCCTTGCGCCCAATTATCTTACGTTGCTTACATTTCGACAAGGGTGTCAAATTAACTTTGGAAATTCGGGGGACTTCCCGTCACGTGTCAGCTGAGTATAATATTTCCCGTCGGCTTAGTTGACATTATTTAACTATGGGCAATCGTAAGTTAATACGGGAGTTTGAACCGAATTAATTTCCATTGTGTATGTTGTGCTTTGATTTGGTTTTGCATGATATTTGGGCCACTTTCCTTCCTTTGATCGTTACGAAGTTTCAGGCTTCAATTGCTTTAGGATGACATTGTGATGAAACCTTTATTTCTGAGGTAATCAATCATGATATGCCTCGTGGTGAATAACCCCCTTAGGTCATACTAAGTTATAACCTTCTAAAAGCATTGCGGCATGTCCATATAGGATTCACGACGCTTTTAAAATCATATCTGTCATCAACTTTGTATGATACAAGTGCTCCCTAAGTCAAAATGACAAAGTTTTCCTTTGTAAGTAAAAATAGGCATGTTGTATTCGGTGGTATAAAATCGAGAGACTTAATCGATTATTGTATAACACAAAGATAGTTTTTATTTAGCTATTGAACACTACGGTGGTAGGGCCACGCAGCAGCCTCGGCTGTTGCACGAATGAGCAGGCCCGTCCGGGCAAGTACTACGACCTCACAGAAGACCAGCGTAAAGTGGAAGTATGACAAATGCTTTCGCGATTCGTCTGGTGAGTGAGGTAGCCGGAGCCCAATTTCAAAAGGTTGTCAACGCATTTGTGACCCTCGGGTGTGGCAGTCCATGGGTGACGGTATTCACTTAAGATCAGGTGAACCGTCTACTCGTTTGGCAACATTTCGCATAAAAAAAAACACCAATAACAGGTTAGGTTTTTATTTATTTCGCTAACGAAACATTACTTATAGTGTCATTTAACTGCAGAATGTTAATATAATATGGATATTCCAAATAAATCCAGTTTCAATATTAATACGGGTTATAAAATATTTAAACCGGTTTGAGAACGGAGTACAGCGCGAAAGTTTTGACAACTGTCAGCTTATATCACCTGAAAGCGATATACAAATATTTAACATTTTTAAACGGAATATTTTAACTTATATCCGATACGACGAAATTCACCATTATTTTCTAATTGCGCTCTTGCGTTATTTTTTTTGGGCTGTATGTTTACGCAAATTAAAACTTGCGGTTAAAAAAAGTTGTAAATGAATCTTATGTTATTTATTTACCTTTATAATATGCATTGGGTCTTTTCGCATACGAAACGCTCTTTTATAAAAGATTTATTATGATAAAAATTAATAAAATATTCGTTTAACTCAGTATTTTCGGTTGTTTTTTTGCGCTCATAGACTTAGTGGGAAAAATAATTGAGATGTAAGAAATTACCATAAATAAAAATAGAACAGCACTAGTTTCTTTTTAGATAATTAATGTCGATTCGAAGCAAAAGTTGTTCTAGAGGATTATGTCCGCTTACTTGATTAGTGGTTTAGTCTGATAAAAAAAAGAAAAGTAACAGCTATTTACGCCTCACAGCTGGGCAGAGGTCTCCCAAAAGTGGGTATTACGAACGTAACCTAGTCCGTGACCCCAATACGGATTGGCACTTCAATATCTTCGAAATATTCTTTTTCTTAAGATTTCAAAAAAATGCAGGCTTCCTGACAATGTTTTTCTCCACCGATGAGCACGTGACATGCCATCACTTAAAATTTGATGTAACAATTTCGTTCGTGTCTTTTGTTCCCGTTGCCTTCACCAATGAAAGGTTGCTCAAGTATAGCGAATTAATAGCGAGCACCTGGACACTGAGCCATCAGTTTATCCAATAAAAATAATAAATAATAAGCATCAATCGTAAGTAAGAGCGGTGATAGCTCAGTGTCCGGGCGCTCGCCTTTAATTTAATTTACTCGAGCAGCCTGAGTTCGATCTCCGGTGCCAGTGCCAATGAAATTGTTATTTTAAGTGCTGACTTATCACGTGCTCGGCGGTGAAGGATAAACATCTTGAGGAAAC